AGCCGAGAGGGCTGCTCGCCGGGCAGAGCCCAGCGGCCCTGAAACGCTGGAGCGGGGCTGGGGAGGCGAGACACGGCCCGCACTCCGTTATCGCTCCAGTTCTTGACCTGCTTGGGTACGTACAGCAGTCAAGGCTTGTTGCCGGCCGAGCTTTCTGCTGATACAGAAGTAAAACATTTCAGGCCAAACAGCCTGAAAGAGCACAGGCTTCGCTCTAGAGCCTGGCTACAGCTCACCCAGTAAAAGAAGTGATTATAAACGTGCATTTCTATCTGATTCAGAAGGACCTGAACAGGCGGGGCTCCTGGGTAACGGGCTGAAATCCACGGGGTTCCTTTATTGATGATTCCTAGGATTTCAGTCTCTTTTTCATTAAACGTCTGGTGAACATAAAGAAGAAAAACTGCAAATTCACTGTCATTTATGCCCTCATTTACCTAATGATATTGCTCCCCGGAGATACAGACAGCTCGCATTTCATCAAGCGAAAGAGATTACGTCTTAAAAACTTGTTTCTGGGCTCTGCAAACAGCACCGAGCCCTGCCCGCCGGGGACGCATGGAGCGTCAATAACTGACGTTTCTGAGCAGAGACATTTCCAGCGCCCGCAGACAGCCCTGCAGCGGAACCTCCAGGGAGGCAGAGTCGAGGGCGTGGAGAGGGTGTGGGCTTACCTCGGTGGGATCAAGCCCGCTCCCTTCACCGTGGGCCAGAGAAAAGCCCCAGGAGGGCTTTCCTCCAGGGTAGTGTGCGAGAACCTACCTGTCCTCACTCCGTATTTCAGTGTGTCCCGGCAGTCCACCAGGATCTGCTCCAGGGACTCGGGGTTGTCCGAGAGCTCCAGGTTGAAGCCCTCCATGCCCTCCAGGAGCTGGTGCGGGTGGTGGAAGTCCAGCACTTTGGTTGATCTGTCAAACGTCTTCCTCACGTAGTTGAGGAGGATGTCCACCACCTCCAGAAGGAACTGCATGGTCTGCTCCTCGCCGTTCTTGGCGGGCAGCAAATCTGCGGGGCAAACCAGCTGTCAGCGCCTGCTTTGGGAGCGAGAGGCGGAGATGAACCAGCCCCGG